GAACCACCAAGACAAGATGTTTCTAAACTGGTTGACTGCATCGTGAATTCCAGTAAGATGCTACTGGGTTGATTCTATTGGCCTTTTCCAAGCTATCAAGCATTCCTAGGTTTTAAGGGAAGTTCTCGGAAGTAGAAATACCATCCATCAGAGATTCATCAATTCGTGGTGAGTTTTTAGCTCTCATGGTTCCGTTATCGAGGTATCGCTGTGCCTCGTGTTTATACCGGTGCTTCTCGGTAGCTTCGTGGTTGTCCATATCCATTTTTACTGTGCACACTTTACTCCTACCCATTTAACGGTGCCCGATGGGTCATTCAGCTGCCTCTGTCACAATCACAGCGTGAATTCTTTCGATTCAGTCTCAGAGCACCTGGCTAGACGTACTCCTCTGAGAAGTCTCACTTTGCTGAAAGCCTCAGAGGGTTGGGTTGGTTCTCCATTTAGGTGAAATTTTGATGAAGCCGTTTTTGCATTCACCAGATTCCCGGTAACCCCGCAGTAACCCAACACTGTGGGATAGCAAAGAAATTGAGGTCTGTATGCCACACTCTTACGGCTGGGAAAATCCTCCCGAAAAAAGCCATTTGAAAATTGATACCATCGGGTTTACGTGCATTTACCTTCTCAGCTTCTGGGAAAACCAAGCATGCGCACTTTGCAAGGCATGCCACCTTATAAGGTCAAGGGATCCGTTTCCAGAACTCTGCAGTAGTGGACTAACTGAACTTAGATTCATTTTAGATCCCAATTATTATTATTGGCAGAATATCCTGGAACGATACCTCCTGGCGACCAGTAGAGAAGTACGGATCAGTAATGGGGTTCAGTACGTCTTCAAACCCATCCCCAGATCCTGTTCCTGTCAGGAAACAGATTAGTGGAGTAGATGGGGTTGCTGAAGATTGTTAAAGATAGAAGGGGTATGTAGTCGAGTGAGGGGAGTAGGCCTACCACGAAAACTATCAGTCTTGCCCAGTAGTTATTCCAAAAATTTGAAAAAAAATTAAAATCTGACCTATTCAAGGTGAGGATTTCCATTGCTTCTCTGTTTGGCCTTTCCGTATTCCGCTCTCTGTGGGCTTCCTATATGATTCGACCGATGCCAACCTGGCTTCAGAAACGCTTATATCTTCTGCTGACCCCCTTCCCCCTAGGTCAAAGCATCAGCTAAGACATAAGGGGTGGCTTTGAGAATCATACCCTCGTTTATGTGCTGAGCCGCATTGTTTTACCAAATATCTTTGTAATTTTCGTGGTCCCACCGCAAAAACTTGGCGATCTTTCTGCGCTGGACTCCTAGGGTTCCCCATTTCTCGTAGTTAGGCAGGCTCTGACTGCCTGGAGGGAGGCTATGTACCTTGGCTCACAGATCTCAGCTTCAGATAATGAGTGAATCATTGAGGATTATCGTCTTTCTCTCCCGAAGATCGATTCTCTCTCTCTTAACAGTTTATCCATTTCAGAGCTGTCTGGTGGAGACAAACCTAAAGGAGCTCCATCAAAGAGATTAAAGCCGCTTATTAATTCAAGAATGGGAAAGCCTAGTGGATCCTCGAAACCTGCAAAAGGCGAAACAGCATCAGCATTGCAAAAAGTGAAGAGCTTCAGATTTGGACTATCTGCTACGAAGAAACCAGAAACAAAATGATCAAACTTACAGACCCGTCACCACTGTAGGCTTTTATGCATGTTTGTCGAAATTCCAGATAATTGCATTACGTGGTAAAATAAAGGTTATGTGTTGGAAAAGGTGTATCAAAAGATCGAGTTGGAATCAG